GAGACTCCAGGTTAGTCTTGGGGATAGTTGGGTGTGATTGAGCCGGGCAAAGGCCAGGGCTCGCAACCCTGTGCTGTCGGTTCTCACTGCAAAACTGGACTATCCTGACAGAATCCGATGGATTATCAGAATCAGTTGAGCTATATCTTTGAAACTATCTAATGAGATGGTTATGACCAAGAATGATTGGTGACAGTGAACTCCTGATCCTTCCCAGAAAGAAAGAAAGAGAAAAAGAAAAAGAAAATGGTTTGGGCCCACATGCATGTGTCAGTATAGCAATTAACTAGGTGATGCACAGAATCATACATGGCATGTACATTGTGTGTTGAGTTGTTGCTAATTGCTATAATGATTGTAAATATCTTGATGTGTTTTCTACTGTACTTTGGTTGAAATGGGTTTGTCTCACCCTTTTAGTTGCTATGTGTGTTATATGTGAATATGTTTAGTAGGTGAGGACACAAATGGCCCGACCACCATACCAGTTCAGCGTCACGGTCAGATATGATCCTGAAGGAAGATGGACGTACGATTGGGAACGACAACAGTTCACCCATACTGGCACTATTACCTTTTTGTTAGATAGAAATGGGTCAGGCCCACGGACATACCCCATCTCCATCAGGGTACCCATGAGACTCACTTTTCCATTTACTCCTAGAGTACTGTTAACTTTTGGAGGAAATGGTATTTTTGATAATCATGGGTCTAGGGGGAAAGCTTGTGAGGTCATTTTTGTTGTTGTTGTCTCAGATATCGTGACCCCACTTTATTTTGTATGTAAATCAGCTATGTGTATATGTTTATATGACTAGATGACTGTATATTTTGACAGATGATTGCTATATACGTATTTGGATAACTGATGCAGATGGTGTATTTAGTTTATATTAATGTGAACAAATGTAAACTCATACATGTGGCTTTTTTACTGCTTGGATTATTTTAATATTATATTTATATTGATGGCATAATAAGTAGTAAGGGTGTCACAGACTCTACTCTATCCTATTTTGTTAGAATTCGTTATTTTGCTATGTGTGTTTTGATAGAAATCCCGTGTTAGACATGATGTAATGAACATTGTATGAAATGACTTGATTGTGATGGAATATAGTGGAAATCTGGTGTAGAACTTAGTGTTATCAGTATAGAGAAATATTGTGTATGATGGAATGAATTGATTGGTATGAATTATGTTGAAAATGTTGTGCGTTTGAATGTAACGTGAATGAATGTAGGCATAGATGCCGTGTGTGAACATGAATACTATATGTGATTGAGAATGTGGCTAAAAATGTGTATGAATAGCATGTTATATGCGATTGTGAATATGTTGGAAGCTATGAATGGTTCAGTAATACACTGAAGGTGTGGAAGATGGGGCGGTAGAAATACCTTGGGGAAGAAAGGGTGGTGGTGACACCAACAGTGAGCGTGGGTGCACCACAGGCCACAGACTCTCCTCCTAACTCGGCCTCTGACTAACACCTTTACGGAGGGGCTCGTGACCGCACATGTTGTATCTGTGAAGCGAGGGCTAACCAGTGACCATCCATGGTGTGAAATTGTGATCACAATGGCACAATGTGCATAGCTACGTGCAGTGAGTACACGTGTGTGTGGAATGTTTGTAGGTGCAGTGAGCGCACCTGTCTGTAAATTGAAATGAAATATTTGGAATGTGTTACTTGTGATCGCTGATGTTTGATTTAGTATACGTTAGAAAGTGTGTGGAATGGGTAAGGTGAGACTTTATGCTTATTTGTGCATGTGATAGTGTAGAGTATTCACCCTTACATTTATTTTCAGGTGACCAAGACGATCAGCACCGGGTTCAGTAAAGGAATAGATGATACTGCTATAGGGCTTAGACTGTTTAGTTTGAGAATAAGATGTAATTGAATTAGTTCTGTATTAGTTATTGATATAAATTTGCAAACCCTTCTTATATTGAAACACTTTGATGAAACTGTGCGTTGGGAATTATTTAAACAAAAAATTTTATTTTTCTTATTTTTGCAAAAATTATTTATTAAAATTAAGATGTTACAAATGGTAATCGATTATCATATGCCTCTTACATTTAAGATACAAAACAAATTTAATATGATTAGCAATTAATTACAATTATTTTCAAAATGAATGATAATGGATTGTCTAAATTTAGTAATCAATTACTACCTAATATTTGCTTCACAAAACTTTTGACAAAATTTATCAATAATAGATTACCAAATACTAGTAACAGATTAATACTTTTATATATATATATATAACACATCGTGCTATAATAACTCAGATAACTTAGTGAATTTTAACATTTTAAGATACTCTTAGATATATATCTATGCAATTAAAAATATAAATTTTTATTACCTTCTTTCTTTTAAATCTTTTAAAAGCTTTCTTTTTGAAAACGTAGGGAGCTTTAAACAAATTAGAAAGTACACAAATGCATACACAATATACTAATAATCATAAGGCTAAATTTAAGGATGTTTTCATCAAAACTTGTTCTACCAATAATCAAGGAATATTTCTTCTCACAGTGAGGAGTTAACAGGGATCATGGGTAATAATTAGGGGAAGTTTTTTCGAACAAAAACTCCTAAATAACTATGAACAACGCATAAAGCAATAAAGCAATAATGGGTCATTTTTGTGTAACCACCCAAGTGTAGTAAGCATTATAACGTGTTTAATGATGGACATTAGTTATCATACAGTGGAAAAACTGAAAAGGCACCATAAAATTGGAGGTTAATGTGAAATTAGAATTGCTAGATTAAAATTTTTCTTGCCATTATTTAAAAATATTAATTCTTTTTCATAAATATAAATAAATTAATATTTTAGGGGACATATGTTTGGGAGAAATAAAAATTTCCCCAAGTTATAATGATTTTTTTCTTGAAATGAGGTTCTTCAGTTGATTGAAGTTTGTTTGAGCTATTTTAGTTGAAAAGCATAAGGGGAACATGTATTGCCTCTTCTTGAATAACAATGTGTATGTTGTGACGATAAATTATGCTTTTTGTTTACGGCCTAACTTTGACTATAATTTGTATAACATAACCTTCAAAAATGTTTTCACTTTTTGATAAGTTTTTATGAAATTATGATGACAAATAAAACACTAATTTCTAATATAAAAGGAAGTATTTTTTTTTTTTACAAGTTTTCATGAAAAGATGATGACCAAAGAAAGCATGAAGTTTTGGTCGAAGTAAAGAGACATGGAGTTTTAGTCGAGAATGAATATTTTTGACTAATTTTTATAAGAAACTTATGACTAAGAAAATATAATTTTGTAGTTAAAAAGTGACATTTCGATAAGCTTTTGACAAGTTCATGAATGGTTTGATAGATAAAATTGTAAGCTACAAAATGTTACAAGTTAGTCAAAAAAAGGATGTTTCATATGCTTTCAAAAAATATTTCATTTATTTATTAATTGGTCGATTGGATCAAGCTATTTCTAAACGAAGAATCGAGTAAAAAGGCCTTAGAGAAGATGGAAGATTTGTGCCATTATCAATACATTAGGAGCGGTCATGAGCAATTATATATGAAGACACATGGCAAGAAATTGTGGATGATACATAATAGGTGTTACTGAAAAAAAACATTTTTAGGCAGTTATATCGTAAAGAACTTGTTTTAGGCAATTATGTTATATATATATAATTTTAAAACATAATTTAAGGATTATAACTTTTTCACTGGTACTCAATATTTTGATATTGACGATATTCTACACACATTAAACTGATAGAAAAGAGATTAATAATACTGGTTGAAAGTTGCACATTCTGTTATTAAAATTTAATTTCAATTAAGTTGTTTTCTTCAATCATTTAATTTAGTATTATATATATTTTTTAATTATTCTTCTTTTTTTTCTATTTTTATTTTGTCTTCTTTATGATGTTGTTAATTAATTTCATTTAAGAACACACTAAAAAAATCGTTAAAGAAAATCTAAAATTTAAGAACTTGTTAAAAAATTTATCTTAAATAAATTAATAGTTAGGCTCTTTATTTATTTATTTTCTCTTCATTACGTGAATCAAATATTAGAGAAATACTGACAAATGCTTTATTTTATTATACCTTTTTAGTACCTTTTTATTGATTTTTTTAATGTCTTTAAGCACGTAATAAAAATTTATATATGATATTTTTATTAAAAATTACATGATATAATAGAATTTAATACATTAATAACATTGAGTGATATAATTTTAATAAAAAAATTATTATTTAATAATTTATTATTGTATGAGTTAGGCACATAATAAAAAAATTATCTTTGTTATTAGAGTAAATTCATATGATTTTTATTAAATAGAGGATTGATTCTTCTAAACAGGGAGTTCAATCATTTAGTAAAATATACATAAATTACCCGTAATAATAAAATTGTTAAAAAAAGTTAGTAAAATTATAGAATACGTTGGCTAACTTAACGCCGGGCTGGTGTTTTTCGTTTGGTCAAGACGTGCTTTTGTTGGGTTTTTTTTTTTTACTAACATTTTTAAAAATTTAATGTGCCTTTTGGTTTAGAATCACTAATATTTAATGTGGGACGTGACACCATCTTGCAAGCCTTACGGTTGACTCAAATATGTACCAGTTCAACTATAGAAACGCCTAAAAAAAGTTTAAAATTATCAAGCAAATGAAGGGCCCAGATATGTCTCTACAGCATGGGCTTCCCGTTGGAACCCAACAAAAAGGGCTTCTAAAAACACTACAAAGCTTTGGGTTAAAGATAATTTAAAAAGTGAAAACTACACTTAGAAGAGATTTTGTATTATCATCAATTTTTCAATCTTCATCCTAGATTCTCCCAAGGACCAAGTTCTTGTATTTGGTCAATAATTTTCTACTATGCTCTAGCATATTTGTGTTTTAAAACATGAATGCATTCACCTGTCACGTTGCACAGGTTGCACAATGTATCTTACAATGTCCAGGAGTACATCACAATATGAATTGAAATTCAACTTTAATCCACTTCATAATGGCACAATCCATAATTCTTGTCCCATTATATACATCAAATGAATGCACTACACTCAATCAACCACACTTTTGTCCCATACAAGTCTTCCTTAAAGCCAAAGCAATCAATCAATTAAAGAAGCATCTAAAACTTGAAAGGTGCTTTTACATCACACTACAAGTTTGCTTCTGGTGATGGGAAAATGCGTTTAGCAAGCCATTGAAAGGGCCTCAAAAGCTGAGCCCTTTTCTTGCGCCAGAACCAAATGGCAGCATTGTAATTTTCGTTGCGAATCTTTCTAGTGGCTGCCCTCCAATCATACTTCTCCATCTCAATACGTGCAGCTTTTCCCATGATTTCTCTCAACTCTTTATCATGTAACAGAGGCTTTAATTTGCTCAAGCAGTCTTCAAGATCACCTGGGGTGTAGAGATAGCCAATTTTGCCATCTTGGTCTTCAGGGATTATGTCTGGGATGCCGCCAGCACGTGCTCCCACCACAGGAATCCCTGAAGACATGGCCTCTAAAACAACAAGTCCAAGTGTCTCTGACTCTGAAGGCATAACAAAGACATCACCACTTGCATATGCTTGAGATAGTTCTTCCCCTCCTAACATTCCTGTGAACACTGCAGGCATACCTTCAAACATTTTTTCTAACTCCTCCCTGTCAGTTAAGAACACATTTCAATAAAAATAATGATAGATTAGGATTCAGATAATGCCTTCAAATAATGATAAAAATAATGACACAAACCCAAAGCAAGGTCATATCAGAGCAAGTCACCTGTAGGGTCCATCTCCAATAAAAGCAATTCTTGCTTCAGGAAGCCTATCCATGATGCTGCCAAATCATTTGTTTCAAATGTCAGATTGGGATTCAGATATTCAAGTTCACATGCAGATATATTTACTATGTACTGTTGTATGGAGAACTAAAATGGTAACAGAAAGCTAAGGACATTTCAAAGTGACATGCTGCAAAACATATCTTGAAAAAGTTTTTACCATCTTTCAGTTGGGTAGATCAATAACAAATAAAGTTTTCAACACTCTTCCAGTGTATTTTTAAGATGTACTGCAAAATCATAAGTTCATTTCTGGAAATCTTCAATATGCCCTCTACCTTTTGAAAAAATCTAAACTCTTCTCGACTCCAAGCCGTCCAACATGAACTATTAAGGGCTTCTCGGGTTCACCATTGCTGTAAGACAGAAGTTCAAGTATAAGATGAAACTCTGTTATATGTCAAACTTTGTGCACATGACAATGACAAAAGGTCCACACCTCAGTCTTAATCGCATTTCCTCGGATTTGAATTGGGGATGGAAACTTTCAGAATCAACACCCTTGTTCCAAAGACGGATCTTGTTAGCTGGACATCAACAGAAGAAACATGTCAGACAAAAAACAGCTGCATTTACAAAGGCCTATAAGCTTATGTTCAGCTGCTGTTATCAAGTGAGAAAAGCTGAAAGACCATTTGACGGGGTGTTTATGTCACCTGCTGTTACTCTAGCTGCTTCGAGATCCCTTCCAATGGCAGCTGATGGCACCAGAGTTAGATCAGCTGCTCTATGTAGAAATTCTGTATAAACAACAAATTTGTGTTATTCTTGCAAAAATTATGATTCCAAGTTTTGAAGAAGCAATAGACAGTATACATACTTATGATCAACCACATGGGTTGCACAAGCCAGCTAAAGGTGTATCTTGGAATATATCTGAACAAAAATAAGAACAACCATAAGAACTAATGTTCTCAATCTGAAGATATCCACAATCTTAGTTTTGCAAATGTGAAAAAAATCTGAAGTCAGAGTATATATGTAACTCACACTGGTACATGGGTATGATAGGACATGACAATTGGAACAGACAGAAGCTTTGCAATTATAAGAGCACCAAAAACCTGAAATTCAGCCAGTCTCAGATTTCAAATAAACAAGTGTTTACAACTAACATTATTCTTAACAATCTAGTGATTAACAAATGAGCAAATACAGGAATTCCAGAAATACCATTATGCCAGGTGATGATGCATGTATTATGTCAGGCTTAAACTGGGCAACTGCCGAAATTATTCTTGGACTAAGTGCCAAAGACAGGGGTACCTTCTGATACCAGGGACAAGGGAAGCTGCATTTGGCATTGTTTTTTGTTTAAATGAAAATCGTTAGCATGAAAAAGTGGCCATGGTACCAACAACAGCTTTGAAGAACATAACATACTAGCATCCAACCAGATCAATTCTAAAATCTAAAACGGTATAAAGAAGTCAAATTTCATAAAACGATGACAATATAAATTCCATGAGCACTTACTATTTGCTTGTTAGAGATTTTTCAATTAAAATCACTTAAAAATTCCTATGATAATTAAATAAGTTGTTAAAAGAAAAAAAGAGAAACACCCAAAAAAAATGTTTTAGTACACTTCTCAGAAGCTAGGAAAAATAGCTTTCTGGAGAATATCGCTAACCAAATAAGCTACACCACAGAAGTACATTTTAAGTAGTAGCATATGGATTAAACAAGAACGATAAGTTACAAAAGTAGCAACAACTGCCATTAAGAAACAAAAATTCCATTGCTTATGGCTTAAAAAAGCAAGTTTAAGATTTGGAAAACAACTTTAGAATAGTGGAGGACAGCAATGGAGAAGAGATAATTGAGGTAAGAAACTAAAGAGTCTAATGTTAACAACCTCCGGGATCCTATTAATTTGGCTCCGTAAAATTCCTTGGGTACTCCTTCATGTGTTGTCACAACCATCACCTATGCACAAATAAAGCAATTTGTTGTAAGTTTACAATTTTAAGATAACAAATGTAGGATAACACCCATACAAATATGTAGAATCAAAAGAAGTAGAAGTTACCTCATCTCCCATTTCGCGAAGGTATTTTATAAAATTCTGAAAACGATTTTTGTATCCAGAGACATACCTGCAAAAATGACATAGCTAGAATGAATATTCTGTTTAAAATGAAGATACAGATTTTTCTTCCACAGCAGACACCACATCTTGTTATGAAATCACAGTCACACAAGAATAATACCAAGTTTAATGCAATCTCATGGAAACTGTAATGCAGATAGAAAGAAGAAAACTTTGGAGTTCAATTACTCATCAACATTGCCTAAATGCCTGCTCACACATTCATAAAATGTAATCGATAGTTGATCTTCAATTTTACATCCAGATATTTGCAGGCCTGAGTCTCAAAAGCAGCAGAATATAGCTGATGTGAACTTTCTTGACGGCTGGACTAGATAATTAACATTAAGCTAATAGAAAATTTATTCCAAAGATGAAGTCAAAGCTAGCTAAATTATTAAATTATAAAAGCAAGATTTTAAAAAAAGGCATGAAAACCAAATTCAAATCCATCTAATGTACAAAATCTCAACCCATTACAATCAATTCATCAAAATCCATAATGTCAACATTGAATCAGAACAACAAGGGAAGTCAACTGCAGTAAAAATTGAAACTCAATGCTGTCCCATGTTTCAATTTTGAAAAACCTACAATAGATAACGGGTCTCAGTCTTTCAAAACATCCCACATTTAATGAGGATTTTTTAAAACAGTGCACATTGAAAGGCAATTTAATTACACAGAAGCCCAAAACACAAGGGGAGACTCACGCAAAAGGAGAAGGTTCAACAAAGAGAGCAATCCTACGGGGCCTAGAATTGTTCTCAGTATCAAGCAAAGCAGAGTCAGGGGGACCCTCTTCCTCCTCCACGACCTCAAGCAAACTATCCTCGGCTATGGTCATGTTCGTGGCTCCAAGCACCAAAGTTTTTCTTCTTTTCACACTCTTCAACCCTTGTATAGAGCAAAAACCTGTCTTTTTCCAAAAGGGTGTAATGGGTTTTGATCTAAGAGGGTGGAAGCAACTAAATCTAGTAGAGTTGTAAAGAGAAGAAGAAGAGGTAGTAAAGGTGGTGACAGACGAAAGAAAAGGAGGAGAGAGAGAGGGATTTATAGAGAGAGAAGTAGAGTACATTATGATTACAAATGCGTGCGGAGTATGGTATAAAGTTTTACAGCCTTTGAATTAGTATATTAATTATATTATATGGTTTGCTTGGGTGGTGCTTGTGCACGAGAGAGAGAGAGAGAGAGAGGAATCTAAGACACATGCTAAGTGACACTAACAATGGATATTCTCCATTTGATGGCGGGACAACAAGGAATCAAAAAGGAACTCTGGGCATATGCTATTGGGTCACTCTCTTAAGCAATTATTCTTTTCCAGATATTTTTCAGCATATGAGAAATAAGGTTTTTTCTTTTTTTGGTTAAATTATAATTTTAGTATTTATGTTTGGGTGATTTGTGCTGCTAACTGTTAAAATTATGTTATTTGTGGATAGATCATAATTAAGCACCATTGTATTATATTTGAGATTAATAAATCAGGCCTCAATAAGTTTGAGGGCCTGGAATAATTATCAGTTATGTCCGGTTGATATTAGTCATGTTTGAGGTCTTCTTTATGAAAAAATAACTGTTAATATTTGTTTAAATTATAAAAATTTACATGTTTTAGAAAGGTTAATGCCTAAAGCATTATAACTATTATGAGACAATAAGGAAAATTAAGTTCAATTAACTACAAATAAATATGTTTGTACATTACACGATTTTTTTTTTATTAAATAAATTTATTTTAAAATAAAAATATAAAATTTAAATATAAAATATGTATAAATATAGTACAAAAATTATTATATTAAATATATTAAATTTTAAAAAATATTAGTAAATAAATAAGTAATTTTTTAATATATATATATATATATATATTGTGATATATAGTATTAGTTATTTTAAAATAAAATATAATAAATAAATTTTATACACTAATAATTATAATTAAAAATAAATAAATAAATATCAGTATACTTAAAAAATTTCTAAAATTCTCTAAAATTTTAAAAAATTAATAATAGCATTAATAAATATTTCATTTACTACTTAAAAAGTATATTTTTTATGATTACAAAGAATAAATTAATTTACAAAATTATGATACATAATAAATTAATAATAATATAATACATATTTTTAATATTTTTTAGTTTTAGTTATTTATTAATAGATAAAAATAAATAAAATTAAAATGGTAGACTAAAAGAAACATATTGATTAAGTAAAGTATAAATAAAAAAACTTTATTACTGTTATAATTTTATTAAAAATGGTAATAATAATAATTTCAGCATAAATACATAAAAAACTATATGATATATGTAAATTCAAATATATTAATTTTTTTATTTTATATAAATTTATTTATTTACAAAAAATATCATAATGTTAAAATAATACTATAAAATTAAAATGTATATAATTTAGTATTTTTTTAGAGTTAATTATATTAATTTAGAATATTTGATAGACTAAAAAAAATATTTATGATAAAATTATGAAATTTTAAATAGTATAAAATTTTTTATTTTAAAATCTAAAAATAGGATTTATATTATTTCATAATATAATATAACTATTTCTTATTATAAAATTTTACAATAAATAATTATAACAATAACTTATTAAATATAATTTTTTTTAATAAATTATAAAGTTTAAATAAAATATTTTATAGTTTTTCACTTATGCATTTATTTATATTTATTAATATAAATTTATATGATAAATTTTTTATTTATAATTATAATTTAAAATTGCTAATAAAATCTTTACAATATCATAATAAAAGAATGATATAATTTTTTTAAAAAAATAACTCATCCGAATAATATATACAAAAATAAAATTATGTTTATTTAACTAATGTGTGAAATTTTAAAAATATAATTTTAATATAAATATATGCAAAACTATATGTTTATATCTAAAGATAAAATATAATATTTTTTTGTTATAAATTACTATATAAAAATATTATAAATAAAATTAATAATAATGTAATATATACTTTTAATTTAAAAGTTTAGTTGTTGATAAAAATTAAAAATATAAATTGGGTTGTTTTAAAGTGATTAAATTATTTTATATTGCTTGATAACTTAATAAAATTAATATTGATTAATATTATAAAAAATGATTTTATTAAATAACTAATTAAATATAACAAAGTTATGCTGTGTAGTCATAAAATTAAAATAATAAATTTATTAATCTTTTTATGCATTTGTTTTTATTTTTTAAAATAATGAATATGGTTTGTTAATGATATAATAATATTTTTAAAAAATTTATTAAAATAAAAAATATTAAATTAAATAAAATTTTAAATTTACGAAAAGGAACATGTAAATTAAATTAAAAATAAGTAAAAATATATATTTATATTGATTTAATTTTTTTTACATATAATTCTTGTATTTTGATTTATATTTTGGGAACTGATTGAAAGTCCACAGAATGCTTGAATTTTACCATTAAGAAACATTGTTCTTCGCGTTTGTAATTGAATATTTTCCAAAAAAATTTCAAAAATATTGGAATTTATTTTTTAATTTAAAAATTTTGAATAATCATACAGTTAAAATATGGAATGCTAATAAATAAATATAAATTTGTTATGTTAATATAAAAAATATTTTTAAAACATTTTAAACACTAAGCTTTGTTTTTCTCAAATTGTAAGTCTTTCTGAATTTGTGAACATTTAGACTTCATATTCATAAAATTTTAAAAGTGCATAAAAGGAAATATTTGAATGTAAAGAAAAGATTAAATGGATAACAAACTCTTATTAACTTTTGAAACAAATGATATATATAGAAATTAAATATAACAGTCAAACTTAATTTATAGTTAAAACGTTATATTTTTTGTACTTATATATTTATTATGATATATAATTACTAAATATGCATATTGAACAGTTACCTAAAGATTTAAATATCAAATCATATTCATCATCTGATAAATAACCATTTTCATTGTTATGATATTTAATAATTGTTATGTGATTTAGGCAAGTATACCAAGTTTCGATGTAGTATAAAAGATTGTCGTATCTATATGGAATGGTGATACACAAGTAATTCTAGTTATCCCAATTGAAAGTAATAATCCCAACTATTCACAAATTTACAACTACTATTCATGTGTTTTTGATTAATTGGTTTCATGAAAATTTAGTAAGATAACAAAATAAAAATTTACTACAATAATGAAAAACAATGATTGGATTTCATCTATCACTAATTTTATATTTTAGTCATAATAGAATTGCACAATTACCACGGTCTTATGATGCATTTCCCATTATATTCACTCGTTGGATTCTTCTCACCCGAGATTCTAGGATATATTTATTAAATGATAATCCCTTACCCAAACAATAAATAATACAGCATTACTAACAAGAGTTATATAACATACAACAGATTAAAACCTATTCCTAGAGTTCTAACCTATCACGTGTGTTTACCCCAACTTAGTTTCAAAGTAGTTTTCCAACTCACTCCAGATTCTTGAATTATGAATCATTCCCCGTAGGGTAGAAGCAAGCATTAATATCAAAATAAACACACCCAACACATGGTAAATGAACAACTATAATAATGAACTAAAATACTCAGAAAGTTAAGATTACATCCAATCCCCTATGGAGTTCTAGCCACTCATAATGTACCAAACAAAAAGAAAATACATGGAGAGAGAATAAAAATTAGTTCTCCAATGGTGTAGTTACTCTTTCACGCTTCTCTTCTTGCCTTAGCGAGATCTTTGGTCGCTCAGGCTAGACTCTCGCTCAAGCAATAGTTATCTCGCCTGAGTGAGAATACAGCAAAATGCAAGTCTTACAGCTCGATGTCCTCGCTCAGGTGCCCCACACCTCACTCAGGCGACCCAGAGTTCGCCTAAGCGAGATTTGCTGGTTATGAGGACTTTGCTTCTCCCTATTTCCATCTTCATTTCACTAAGCCTTGCTCCTGATTATTTAGCACAATAATAAAGGATCAAATATCTTCATAAAGTCATAAATTTAAGACAAATAGTTACTAAATTTAAGTGGCTAAACTTCAATTGGCATGGGATATAAATACATTGAATTAAAAGGAAATTCAAGCATAAACAAATTGGAAAGGAATCGAATAAGTGACAAATTATATACCAAAAATTACTACTAATTGGCACTTATTAATAATATTTAATTTATTTAAATTATTACAATTAATTAGTTTTAATTTGAGAATTTGGAATTTATCATCATCATTATGACATTTTATAACAAAAAAAAAATTACAACAAAATCATTAAATATAAATATTATAAATTTTTTTATTTTCAAAATTTAAATTTGTCATCATAATTATAATATAAATATAAATAAAATATTGTCTACTTTAATAGGTTATACATGATATGATATATCAATTCTTATTAAATTATTTTTTAAAATGATAGAAGAAGAAAAAGAAAGAGTATTTAAAAATTTCAATTAATATTTAAATAAAAACTAAAAGAGAAGAATAATTTTATTCACTATAAAAATTAATTCTTGTATCAATTAAAATTACACATGTTGATATACTATAAAATTTATGGGTCATATATAAAATATAGACAAATGTTATAATAAGAACAAAATTAATATATATAAATAATAATAATAATAATAATAATAATAATAATAGAGATTTGTAATAAGATAACAAAATTATTTTATAAAATATGAAATGTTTGGTGACATTCTACTTTTTAAATTTTACAAATTTTTAAAAGTATTTATACAATAATACAATAAAATTGTTTAATCTTCTAAATATTTTATTGTTGCCTTTTATTCAGTATTGTTTGCTTCATCTTCATTGAGTTGCAACCAAAAATAAAATATCAAATATAAATTACAGTATGATTTAAGAAATTTTAACAATACATTATAAATTGATAATCTATATATTAATTTCCTTTTTCATTTTAGTAAATTTGGTGTTCCCACCGTTGGTACATGTGAAGAATTTATTAATAAGTCATCTTTTGTTTTTGTCACAACCCCTTCTTAAAAGGAATCTATGACATAATTTCCATTTGAAATTTATGTAGAATTTAGGCATTTAAAATAATTAAGACTTAATGAGATGTGAAAGCTCACCATTCAATAATAAAATAAGGCCA